AGGATAGATGTAGATATCTATGGGTCACAGCAACCACTTACCACCAGGTGGACTGTGTGCTCGTTTGTCACCCTATCCTATAAAAAAAAAGTGTCTTAATCGAGAGTGTTCTTGTTTAGTCACTTGAAGATAATCAACTTTTCAGGGGTTTTTTTAAATTTAAAATTTAAAACTTTCTTATTTTGTTTTTGTGTACACTTTCATAGAATTGCGTCATATTATAACTAACGATACGCCTTGGCTTCGCACGGGTGTTTTCTGGATCTCGACAAGCACTTACTGGGTAAATCTAAATCTATCCAGGGAACAACAAAAACACACACAAAAAAATATTTCATAAAAATTGATCCAGCCGTTCTCAAGTGATGATCTTAATGATGATGATGATTAAAAGTGCAATATTAACATGAAAAATTATTAGTAAACCCTTTTTTACGCAGTCGGGTTTTTTAATCACTGTTTAACCGTTGAGTTTGAAAACATTTTAGGCAAACGTATCTCAACAAACTCGGACTTGAACAGTGCCGCGACGGCGACGCTGTATTGGTGGAGGAACTGCTCGAGCTGATGCAGCAGACTATGGCTGACTTTACGTCCACCTTCAGACAGTTGGCTGAGGTGATTTTATGATATTTTAAAATATACTGGTGGCGGTGACCGTCACCACAATTTTGGCAATCGTTTGGGCAGTCAAACATTTTCGACCTTATTTATATGGAAACAATTTACAATATACGCCGATCAATCAGCCTTTAGCCTGGTTACCCGTAATCAGTTCAGCCTATTAAAGTCCATGCTGAACATAGATTGCCTCAGGAGGGATATTTGCAATAGTTGCCACGCTTGGCAAGTGGGTTAGCAAACGCAGGATTTTATTTTTAGTCGTTATTAGAAAAACGCTGTTGATCCTCTCCTGATTTGGTTCCCTGTGTCGCTTCTTACGACACCCACGGGATGATATGGGGTAGTGGATATTCTTACACCGCCGCTACATGGTCGCCTTAGCCTACTTAAGTTCCATTGATGAGCCGAATAGCAAACTTACCAGGTGGAAGTTACGCCTACGAATTTTACTATTGTATAAAATTGTGAAATTCGTTACCTCCACACTATGACTTTCTCCTGTACGGTGGCGGTAGTTTACAAACACAAATTGCACAAGGACAAACATCCAGACCCGGAACAATTATTTGTAGGCCATATAAATACTTGTTCCGTGCGGGATTCGAACCCGCGGCCCCCAGCGCAGCATCTCATTGCTAAGTCACTGCGCCACGGAGCCGTCGTAATATAGTAGTAGCCCCAGGGCCAAAATGTATTTGTATTCAGGTACAGTTTAATAATAATTATTATTAGTAATAGTAATAATTATTAATATTATTATTTTTATTTTAGGTAGAAGTGTCACAGCTAATAGATGCAAAAACGCTCGAGAGCATGTGGTCTTTAGCGAAGGTCAGCAAAGCCTCCCAGTGGGGGCAGTGGGTGCAGAAGTATCGAGACAGATTGGAAGAAGAAAACGGTTAGTATTTTTTTTTATGGAATAAGGTGACAAGTGAGCACACAGTCCACCTGATGGTAAGTGGATGCTGTGGCCTATAGCCCCTGAGGACTGAGATGGGATGGATCGTTTCCAGTAATAAGGGTCTCCGGTTGTGTACACTCCACATACGAGAGACAGCAGCATTGAGCTGATACTTTACACTGGTATTCTGTGAGAGAAGTAGCTCTTGTCCGGTCTAGCTGACAACGTAGAAATTATAGTTCCTTTTATCTTTTATACATCAATCCATTACAGCCTATAAAAGTCAACTGCTGAACATAGGCCTCTCTAATAGATTGGCCTCAAAGGGAGGATTTTGCCATAGTTGTAATGTTACAGTTGATTTGAAAATTTCACATCTCAGTGGGTCATGTGCTCCTGGTAGATTATCTTCTATACATCCATCCATTACAGCCTATAAAAGACTACTGCTGAACATAGGCCTCTCTAATAGATTGCCTCAAAGGGAGGTTTGCCATAGTCTCCACGCTTGGGAGGCGGGTCGGCAACCGCAGTTTTTTGTTTTGTTTCAGTTTCCCTATGAAACAAAACAAGACAGAGGTTTTTTCCGAACCAGTGGTAATCAAACAAAAGAGTGACTTTCAATAAGTATTATTTATAATCTATATTGAATAAAAAAGTTTATGTTTCTGGTTTTGTTTCTGTCGCCTCTTACGACACCTACGGGACGATAAGTGGCAGTGGATGTTCTTACACCGCCACTACACGGTCAGACGGCTTTTGTTAAGACAAAATTTTGTCTTTGTTTCCAGTGAGTGACGAGAACAGAAGAACACGAATGCTCAAAGTAAATCCCTTATACGTGCCGAGGAACTGGATACTGCAGGAGGCGATAGCTGACGCCGAGAAGAATGACTTTGAAAAGGTAAATCGAGTTTTAAAAACAAAATGGGTTGCTAATTTTCTTGAGCATCCTTTTTTTTATTTCATTTTGACGTGTTTTGGCATACAATGCATACATACATAACCTTGTAAAATATTAGTAGGTTAGGTATTCCAAATCGGCTCACGGCTCAGTGGCGCAGTGGCTTAGCAATGAGTTGCAGCGCTAAGGGCCGCGGGTTTGAATACCGTACGGAACAAGTATTTGTATGGCCTGTAAACTGCAAATAATTGTTCCAGGTCTGAATGTTAGTCCTTGTATAACTGATGTATGTAAACTGTTCCCACAACCACGATACAGGAGAGAATTCTAGTGTTGTAAAGTTTGCATATAATTTAATTAAAATATTAATAAAATTTAAGTGTCTGCTGTCATATCGAAGTAGCTGCCTTGTATTGAGCTGAAGGTTTTTTTTTAAGTTGCAAATAACTAAAAAAAAACCATTTGCCATTAAGTCTAAAAGCTAAACTTCCAAATGGCTTAACAGATTGTAATGAAACTTCCCGAATGGATAGATAGCAATACCAAGCATGATGTATACTATAATTTATCCGTAAAACTTGGGCATTACCGACAATAGATACATAAATAGTTTTTCATTATCATAAATCTAATAAATAGCTAGTTAGTACTAAATTACAAGTGAATAAAATCTTATGTTCTAGGTGCGACATCTGCTAAAGATTTTTAAAAACCCTTATGAAGTCAACGAAGAGGCTGAGAAGCTGGGATACTCCTCGCAACCGCCCAGCTGGTCATTTGGGCTGAAGCTAAGTTGCTCAAGCTAAACAAAATAATACATATTTGTTATATTTTAAAATACATACACTTAGGCTAAGCGTATGTTAAGACCCACGCATTGCAGAGCAGATTTTGTAACGCATGAACATCTTGCTCTGCGCCTTGTTGTAGAGCCGGCACAGATTTCTAGCCGCTGCTATGTCGAAACGTGGTTTTAGCTAGATTTTATAATTTTACTTAATTTCATAACGCGACTTCTGAGTCTGAACTTATTTTACTATGTAGTCCACTCGAAAACTGTCCATTCTTTGTACTAGCTAGGACGCGAAAAAGTCCTGACCAATAACCTGTTTCCCATAGAAAAGTCCTGACATTTTGTTGCAAACGTAATAAAGAAGTTTGAAGAAACAAATCAATTATTGGTTTTGTGCACTTTTTGCTATTAATCTACGTCGTAAATCTATAGATCCACCTCTACCATCCAAGAACCTTCTGTACTTTATTGAAAAATCTAAAAAACCTGACATTTACTAAATCTGGCCGCAATCCTGACAAGAGCTGAAAGTCCTGACATGTCCGGACAAATCCTGACGTATGATATCGCTGTGCTGCATCTCCTACGTCTCATTACACACTTTGCTTTTCTTTTGTACACATTTGTAAACTTTAAAAGAAATAGATTCTTAATTCAACTGAATCTTATTTTTTGACCCCTGACGAAATGGAGGGGTGTTATATGTTTAACGTGTGTATCTGTCGTTGTTGGTCTGTGGTATTGTAGCTCCCAAACGGATAAACTGTTTTTGATTTAGTCTTTTTTTGTTTGAAAGGTGACTTGATCGAGTGTACTTAGCTATGATTCAAGAAAATATTTTCAGCCGTTTGAAGATCATCAGCTATTTATGTTTTGGGGGTTTTTTAAATTTTCAATTTAAGTTATAGTATGTATGTTACATGATATGTTTGTCAATTGTGAACCGTTTTTGATGATTCTATTTTTTTTATTACATAGGTTATTCTAACTTTTTTAATTTTACTTCAGGAGTGTTCCTATATAAATTTGGTTAAAATATTATACCTTAAGGTAGAAAAATAAGTAAGTATATAATTTTTAATGTAACTTTTTTGGTGTTTTAACTATGTGTGTTAGGTCTGACTTCTGAAGCTATTGTGGAAATAATTTTAACTGTTAAAAGAAATCTGTATAAATGTATAATGCGTTATCATAATATGAATGCAAATATGTTATGTATTACTAAGATGAATTTATAATAAAACAAGTAGAATTTAATTGTTTTGTTTTTCACTGTTATATTTCTGTTAAATAGTCTGTACAAAATATATTTTTCCAACATTATACACTGAGTTTTTTATACTTGATCACATTTTTGATACCTGATAATTTAAGGTTTTTAAATTTATCATAACACATAGTATATTACATAAAAATAAAAACCTAATTTCTCCTTATAATATCAATATCTTTTAGAAGCCACATGGTACTATGCGGTGTCAACACGGCGCTTAAGCAGTACCATTAGGGTGTTCGACATTTTACAAAAATCCACATAAAAGACACAATGTAACACAAGAGCAGCAACAAAGTCCATTTAGTGCTTCTCGAGTCAGATCTAGTGCTTTATTGTCCACAATACAGGTTAACTTCAAACACTAAATTTACAACTGCTGTTGAGTTGCCACGTTGCACCATGTGGCACTATGCAGTAACACTCCACCACTGCATTATTATGCGCTCTGGTCTAAGACCTGCTTATACAACAATAATACCGAAAATATAACATAATTACTGAATCACTCATAATCTTCATCCGCACTGTCATCTGGCTCAGAATAATCTTCATCAATTTCAATCTTCCTTCTCTTTCTTTCTTGTATATTCTCTTTGTTCTCTTCTTTCTCTTCCAACTTGGCTTCAGTTTCTGCAGAGCGATGATGGAAAACAAATGATATACTCTTGGCAAGGTCCCAGCATTGTTTGAGAACAAGATCAGCTAAGCTTTTCTTATCAGCACAATGATACCAGTTAGACAGATCGGAAGTGCAGTCAGAATTTTCAGGTGGTAATGTTACTTGGATATTGTTTACACATCTTCTGCACTTAAACTTACTATGCGTGTCGGATAGTGTATTCTCCTCCAAACGGAACAAATCTTTCAGATCTTCTGAAGTAAAATGTCTAAAGGACTCCTCATTTTGATCAACAACAGTATCACTTAATGCCTTTTTATGAGCTTGACGCTGGAAAATCTTTTCCTCAATTGTTCCTGTTGCTAATAATCTGTATATATAGCATGGCTTCTTCTGTCCATCTCGCCATACCCTGGCCATGGCCTGGTCATCATTAGCAGGATTCCAATCTGGATCAAACATGATCAAACGGTTGGCTCCAATAAGATTTAAGCCACACCCACCTGCTTTTGAACTAAGCATAAAAATCCATTCCTTTGAGTCTTTGTCATTGAAACTTTCTACAACTTTAGCTCTTTTCTTTATTGTCATTGATCCATCTAGCCTAACATATTGGTAGCATCTTTTACGACACAGCTTTTCAAAAAGATCAAGTGTTTGTGTATAGTTCGATACCAGAACAATTTTATCGTCGGTGTTGGTCTTTAAATTTGCTAAAATGCAATCTAAGATCATCAGCTTGCCAGAGTATTCGGGTTTCACATCCTTTATATCATAATTACTTGGCAGTAAGTCCCTAGCCTTTTCAAAGCCTTCAGATCTTTCTATTATCTTATCATACACTAAATCTGGATGATTGCAGAGCTTTTTCAGTGTGGTAATACAAGATAAAGCACTCAGAGTGTTTTTGTCACCATTGCCAGAAAATTTATTACGAATTGTATCAGAATTAATGAAATTCTTGTATATTTGTGTTTGGAGTGGTGTCATTTTGACACAAATAACTTGCTCAAACTTGACTGGTAGATATTTAGTGAGTAAATTACTTGTTCTACGTATCATACACTTATTAACTATTGAGGTTAATATTTGCAAGCATTCCTGAGCTTTCTCCCTTTCTTGAGGAGTGGCTAAGGCATCTTGACCCTTGAGAATAGGATTCTCATATTTTTTCTTGAATTCTTGTGCAGTTCCTAAAATTCCTTCATTTACAAAATGCACTAAACTGAAGTATTCTGTTAGATCATTTTGTATTGGTGTACCAGATATAAGAATCCTTCTTTTTGCCTTCAAACCCATCAAAGCTTGGTATGTTTGATTTTCACTATTCTTCAATCTATGACCTTCATCACATAGCACCAACCCCACTTCTGATGAATGTAAAATATTTGAGTAAATCCTAAATGTCTCATATGAGATAATTAACACAGGTGTTGCAACTCGAGTTGCTGTAAAAGTGTTCATAAACTGCTGCAGTTTTAATGTTATATCAGCTTTACTGCCCCCATCCATCGGTAGTGCATTTATTCTTTGACCAAGCCACTTTGCTATTTCATTGTACCAATTCTTTACCAAGCTACTTGGGCACACTATAATAGCTTTAGTTATTGTCGGTTTACAATAAGGACTTTGTCTGAGTAGTGTCCACAATAATGTTATACATTGTAATGTTTTGCCCAAGCCCATTTCGTCAGCCATAATGCATCCAAAAGCATTCTCTATTTGTTTCCCAGTTACACAATCGTACATAAACTTGACACCTTCTCTCTGATGTGGTCTGAGTATATTTCCAAGTACAGGGTCAACTACGACAGCAACTTGAATATCATTAGCATTCATTTTCATTTTCTCATGTTCGGGAATGTATGGCGGGCGAAATAAAACCAAAGCATTGGGTTCATCGGGATCATGAAGTGCGCGCCGAACTTGAGTTCTTTTTAACCCTAAACTTTTACCACAATACGACGAAACATAATTAGGAATTGGTACCTTGAACGGTTTATTTAGAATCTGTCGTATAAGTATCTCATGGTCTGTTGCGGACAAACATTGCGAAGGAGATTTTTGAGCTAGTGGTATCTTCGTACATTCCCGCTTTTTGCGTTTAATAGAATTCAGCAGCGGGCTCTTAAACACATTGTCACTAGAGCCGATTTGGCTCGGGGCTAAACTACGTCGCATACCTACTTTGTTTTTAATTTTAATTTATTCATATCTTATCAATAAAAAAATCACAACATTTCTCATAATTTTAGAGATTGTACCTATATCTTTACATTTCAAATTCAAATTGACAACTAAATATGAAAATGAAAATAAGCACTTTTAATGCTTTTAAGGCAAAAGAATCTATGCCCATAGAGCCTAGTCAAAAATGTATGTTTTTAAAAACAAGTATACGAGACAAGCAAACAGTTGTGATTATATCGCTTTATCTTCACCGGTTTACGTTTCCGCATTTTGGCTACTTTACCGCATAGATTAAAGTTTTGTGTGCTCTGAGTCCACATATCCATAGTGGACAACTAGAAATATTAAAACTGGGGAATTGCATACAAGCGTTCTATTTGATTATCAATCTTTACACGTACACACATTTCAGGTATTATTTATTTTACATACACTGTCACTTTGGTAACAACTGCTTCCTACTATTCACTTGTGGTTTATTTAGTAGAATAAAATATAAGAGCGATAACTAGCGAATAAAAAGCTGTCCTTAAATCAGTAAAACGAATTTATAACATGCCTACCGATTAAATTTAATTATGTAAGAATACTTTTAGGCGAGAATTGATAGTTTGGAACATTGGCCAAAGACTAATAAAACAAAATGAATATAATTAAACACTTTCAAACTGTTTAGTAATACTTTATTAGAAACATGTAGGTAACTATAATAAACTTATCAAGTGAGCAAGTCACAAAACATGTAATTGTTCAGATTTTCCACTTAAGATTGTAGACGCCCATCTCGACAGAATCCACAAGATGAAACCGATGAAAACGTATCGAACTATGAGATCGACAGTTCGCATTCTGTTAAAAAAAAATAATTACATTATTATTAGAAATAATATTTAAGTAATGTAGATATAATAGAATTATATCTTTATATATATATATATATATATATATATATATATATATATATATATATATATTACGTGTCACGTTGTTTGTCCGCGATGGACTCCTAAACTACTGAATTGATTTCGATAAAATTTTGCACACTGTGTTCAGTTTGGTCCAACTAGAAAGATAGGATAGTTTTTATCCCGACAAATGACCCTCAATATATAATATAATATATTTTTATTACGAATTTAAGGATTTTTTTATAGAACAAAAGGTCCTTGGAAAGGGCAGAACAATGTCTGCCTGGCGAGCTAGTTTAAATGTATATTTTGATGATATAATATACTAATCTAAATATTACAATCCAGCAAAATCTTGGTAAAACGTATTTTAGTGGTTACAATATTACCTCTGCTAAACCACTACTTAATATCGTTAGTTGTTTAACATTATTAAAGAAATTTTCAAGTATTACGTAGTAGAGCTATGCTGCAACTATATTAGTAGTATAGTTGTAGCACGAATGGGACGGCTCGACCGGGCAAGCATCACGCTCTCACAGAATACCAGCGTAAAATAGCAGCTTATTGCTGCTGTGTTTCGTATGGTAAGTGTAGAGAACCGGAGACCCTTTTTACTGGAAATATGGCATTCCATCTTAGTCGTCACTGATAACAACGCATCTTCATTTTGATTTGTAATCGAGGATAGATGTAGATGTTAATGGGCCGCAGCAACCATTTACTATCAGGTGGACTGTGTGCTCGTTTGTCACTCTCATCCTATAAAAAAAGTAATCAGTCAAAATATAAAAAGAATAAAAAAATCATTAATATTTAAGTATTTTATTTCTAACCAGAGAGTACGCTAATTTGTCATAATTGAAGTTACATTGGATTGAAATTGAGATGAGATTTATATTGTTATTAGATTGAAGAGTAAGCTTGCTGACTAATTTCGCCTTTTAAAGACATTTCGAGGGTTGTATATATGTATAAGCGAAATACCACTGAGATCTCTAAAACTATACCCCCGATTTATGGAGGGTAGATGTAAGGAGGACTTTCTCTGTGCTGGCGCTACAATAGCAGCAGGGTAAATTTTCAAAACAGAAAAATTAATTTGGAGTATTTTAAAAAGTTTTAAAACAGTTAAAAAAATTACTAAACGTATTTTAGCTTACCTATATTTAAAAAATATTTTTGGACTACGTGAATATTTGAAGTTATGTATCCTATACTGTAACTAACTAATCTAGTCACCGAAATTATTAAATTCTAACTCGGCACACATTAATCCATCTACAATTGCTGGCAGTTGTAGATTTATACCATACCCTGTATCTAAGCTAGCGCCAATCTAGAAAGTTTTTGAACTGTTATTTACGCTGTAAGCTTTTTCATGTTCTCCCCCATATGAGATAGACATCTACCCTTCATAGCCCGATTGACTTGAAATTTGTGGCATATATATACTCCTTTCTCAGAAAAAGTCTCAGAAATGTTACAGCTTGTAATATATTATATTGCTAAACTAAATTAACATAGGTTTTTGATTTCTTTTGTTCCCGTTAAAAATGACACAGCGTGGCATATTCTAACTGTGCGTGACTGCCCACACTGCCTTTTACACTTATACATTTGATTAACCAGCATTCGGGTATACGGTACGGTATCGGAATACGTGTAGAAATAACATTATAGTAATGTGGTGCTAAGGGCCACCACACGTTTAAAACACTTAATTTAACGAAACAGGGTTACCAGTAAAAAGCTTACATTTTCATATGCCGTTTCGCCGCTGGTATTGTGTCGTCAGTTTCTTTGAGTATGTAGACACGGGCGGCTCGCACGCAGTCTTCAAAGTAATTTGGAATATCCACACCTGTAACAATTTTTTTATTGTCTGATGAAAAATTTGTTGTAATGGCGTCATTAGAGAATCCCGTTTAGACCCGTGGGTATTCTAACATTTACTCATAAATAATTTTACCTTAAATTGTCACATTAATTGATTTAAGAAGCCACAAAAGGAAAAGGAATTTAAAATGCCTTCCTGATCTAGAGTGCTGATAGTAATAGATGGCTTCTGCAACCCATAGACATCTTCAATCTGCAAACAGGCCAGGCACAGTTGTCATCCCAGAAGTCTTAGATGGAAATCTCTTTTTACTTACACTTAGGAGAATAAATTGGTAAACTCATAAATTAAAATATTTTATAAACTTACCAATGGCGTCTATTTTGTAGTCCTCCTTTTCCCTCGCGTTGAGGTGCACACGCAGGCGCTGACAAGCATCCGATTGGAAGTCCCACTGGTTGTTTGTGTAGTATTCGAATACATCGAAACCCTTACTGATACGACGGTGGACTCGCATTAAACTGGATAAAAACGTGATTATATAAGACGAACATTTTTTTTATACAGAATAAATATTTTTTTATAGAAATGTAAATATTTCATTAATGACATATATTATTGATGACACTTAATATTTTTTTTTTCCTAATTTGGCAACTTCCAATGGATTCTGCCAGCGTCACTTAGTATTTTATTAATGACATGTAAATGTAAATATTTTTTTGATTACATTTGAATTTAAAAATTAATATAACGGCCTCTATGTCAAAATAACAATATTCTGTGTCAAAGAGTATAAAAAATATTAAGTGTTTGCTGTCTCTATCACTTTGATTCAAGTTTGAGTCAAGGACCACGAGACTGAACGACATCTTAAAATTGAGTGCAATAGCTTGAATATTTGGCCATTAAATCGCATAACACCCTCACTCTCTAAGATTCCATGAGGGTTATGGAACAGAAGTCGCAGCTAATATAGTGATTTTATACTCTTTGTTCTCAGTCATCCTACTCGAGTGTGAATGGGCGGACTTCTGCAACCATTTTAATTTCTCAAACATGCAGCAGATTTTCTAGCGATATTATTTCTTCACCACTGAGCACGTGAATCAGCCCTTAAATTATGATTAGCAGTTTTGTGATGTCATTGAAAGTAATTGATACGTATTTGAAATATAACCCGAAAGAACCCTTTGAGGGTTCCGTACCCAAAGGGCAACAGGACCCTATTACTAAGCCTCCGTTGTCCGTCCGTCTGTCTGTCAGCCGACTGTATCTCATGATCCGTAATAAGTAAACAGTTGAAATTTTCACAGAATGTGTATTTCTGCTGCCGCTATAACATCAAATAATAAAAATAAATAAAAAATTAAAGAGGGCTCCGCTACTAAACATGTCATCTGGTGTGGTGTATTTTTTAATTATTGATAAATATTAGACAGTTTTATTAAACAAAAACTCCATTAATATTTATTTATAAGGTACCAATTCCAAAGAGTGAATCATATCATACTTCTATAATTTAAATAAAAAATGTCAAGTATTATGTAACTTACACTGGTTCAAATCTCAGAACGTAGAGCAAAGTGTCGACTAAAATTGCGGGTATCCAGTGAAATAATATCGCGCAGATATTGTGTAACAGACGGGAGTGTTTCATCGAACCGCCTGGGTACCTGAAGAAGTAATCGTATATTAAAATTGTAATTGTATTTTATATTAGCGACGATACTTAAAAATTACACCTAGATGGAGTAGCGACCTGGTAAGTAATGCAGGAAGTCGATGGATGCAAGTATCTCATGGCCGTAATTTGTAGCATTCGTTCTTAGAGGCCTATGTTCAGCAGTGGGCTTGTGAAAAGATGATGTTGATGATGATGATATCAGCGCCTAGGTAAATCCAACTTCGAAAGTTTAAATGTCTCAGATGATCGATTTGATCCGTAGATTTAATTAGACATATGGTCGAAATAAAAGGAAGATCTTTTTCTGCCGACTTCCAAAAAGGAGATCGTACTCAATTCGACTGTATGTTTCTTTTTTTTACCTCATAACTTTTTACTGGGTAAACCGATTTCGATGATTCTTTTTTTATTTGAAAGCTGGTACTTTTTGTGTGGTCCCATATGAATTTGATCAAGGTCAGACCAATATTTTTTGTGTTATTCTTAATAACTTATATTAAAGTCGGCAGTACAAAATTTTTAATTTTTTATTATTATAGAATAAGGATGACAAACGATCATACAGTCCACTTGGTAGTAAGTCAATGCTGTGGCCCATAGACAACTACATCTATCAATTAAGAATCAAAATGCAGATGCGTTGTCAACCCTGAGGACTCAGCTGGAATGCCTTGTTTCCAGTAAAAAGAATCTCCGGTTCTCTACACTCACCATAACACTCACACAGCAGTGTTAAGCTGCTATTTTACGATGGTATTCTGTGAGAGCGTGGTCCTTCCTCGGTTGAGCCGAAACATTCGTGCTACAACCATAATACAGCTGTAGCGTGGCTCTATCACGTATAGTTTTCATAAGATGACGGTATAACCATCTTTACTATGTAAAGCTGCGAGAAGTACGTCTGTCGTCAATCCAACTACTTAGCATGACGGTAAGGCAAGTCGGGAGGACTATACATGTTATGTAATAAGAGTGACACATATCCAACAGTGGAAGCCTACTGGCTAATGTAGAAGAAGATTTATTAAAATATAGATCTATCATTATGTAATGATGGTTATATTTAAAAACGTGATAGGCGCGCACGTTTTAAATTCCACAGTACGCGCGCAAATCCAGTTTGATCCCCGACGTCACCAATGAAATTGTTAATTGCAATTTTAAGTACTGATTTACAAAGTACTTGGCTGTTAAGGAAAAAATCACAACATAGCGTCTGAAAATTTTAAAAAATATTTCAAAGAAATGTGAAGTACGCCAACACGCATTGGGGCAGCGCGGCGGACATTTTCTTGGCCTAAAGCCCACTCATATATGAGGCCTATGCCTAGCTGTGAGACGTATATAGACTGTAACTTTACATTTTGACTTATAAGCATAATATTGTATATTGTAAATAAAAAATTGTGTAAGTTGACATACCATACAACTCCATTGAGGGGCACTCTATTTACTATGATTTCCTTGCCAGTCTCAATCAGCTCCGTCCACGTAATTTTCACTTCAGCTGAGCTGGTGAAGTTGTAAATCGTCGTTTCCTTGTCACTTTATATTAAAAAAAAACACATTTTAATTATATTTTATACTTTTATTATGACGCAATATTTTGCCTTGTCTAAAAAAATGTAATTTTGTGCTTCAAGTCATCAGAGATTTTCTGTAAAAACGATTTTAAAAATCTAAATGATTAAATAAATAACATTAATAGATACCACCCAAGCGAAGCCGGGGCGGATTGCTAGTAATTAATATTTTCATTAATCTCTGTAACTTAAAATAACATATTTACCCGCGCTGAAGGTAATTCCAAGCGACCACCATGATGCCGTTTATGAAAATGTCCACGGGCAAATAATCAGCATAGCTGTTACTACGGCAGTACATAGAACGTATGACGCCTTTGCCAGCACCTTTGTAACAATAAAAATAATTTAATTTCTCTATTTTTTACAAGACGTTCGAGTATAAAGCGCCTTATTCGCGGTCCATCTTGCTGTACGTCGTGCGTACATACGTAATTATTGAAACAGAAACTTTTTTTATTCAATATAGACTATAAATAATACTTATTGAAAGTCATTCTTTTGTTTAATTACCACTGGTTCGAAAAAAACCTCTGTTCTGGGAAGAACCAGCAAGAATAGCTTACAATCATGTATGTTACACAATTAACCACACAAAACAAATAAGAAATAGCTTGGTAGGGACCTCATACCCAGGGGTTATTATCATCCATAAATTCCTTAATATTATAATAACCTTTTTTATACAAACTTTGTTTAATAAAGTTTTTGAACTTTGAGCAGGTCAAATTTCGTATATTTTCTTGGAATTTGTAGTAACATACGTCGCAGGCTTGACGTATGTTGTGACATACGTCAAGCCTTCTCGCTATCGTTTTGTGTCGTGAGTCGTGGATAACCTTCTCGGGACGTACAGCAAGATGGACCGTGAGTAAGGCGCTTAAGGGTTATTCCGCTGGCGGAAAACTGACCATTGACACTGTTTGTTTCTCTTGTACACGGTATAGTACTCATGGAAATACATGTACTTCGTACAAATACTTCCGTGATAGTACTACACCCAGCGAAGTAGCGTATGCCTCACAGACATCAGAAGTAAGTTACTCCATTACTTTATCTGTGGCACCTCATGACATTGTATTCTTTTGTAATAGGGAACGCAATAAATAATAAATAAAGAGTAGATAGATATTTTCTTGTAACCGACAGATAAAAAAATTTCATATGGTTTAAATTAATACGTACCAATAAGTAGTCCGGTTGGTCCATTTATGTTATCAGTCCAACCGGGCAGCGGCTCCCGCCAAATAGGTATGACTACAGACAAAAATGTTTATTACTTTTAGATCATTTTAAATGTTTAACTAAGTACAACACTTGGCTATGGCGGTGCGGGTCGCGGGTTTGGTTACCAAGGTTGGTGGGACAAGTTCCAATGTATAAGTAATGCAAACGATTGTCCCGATTTTTAGGGACTGTCTATATATATATTTACGCGCCTTTTTTATAAGATAAGGGTCACAAGCGAGCACACAGTCCACCTGATGGTAAGTGGTTGCTGTGGCCCATAGACATATACATCTATCCACGTTTGCGAATAAAATGTAGTTGCGTTGTCAGACGTGAGGACTATGATGGAGTGCCTCTTTTCCAGTAGAAACGGTCTCCGGTTGTCTACACTCACCAAACTAAACACAGTAATGTCAGGCTGCAATTTTACGCTGGTATTTTGTGAGAGCGTGGTCCTTCCCCGGTCGAGCCGACCCATTCGTGCTACAACTGTAGCATTGATATAACTGTAGAGAGCCATGCACCACGTATAAAATTCCTCAAGTGCCTCTACGAAAAGAAAAAATTCCTTAAGTGGCGAACGTGTTAAAATAAAAGAAATTAAGACATTTCTTTGTACACACTGCCCCATGTAATCCCGTGGGTGTCGTAAGAGGCGACAGAGGAAAACAAATCATGAAATGGGCAACATAGTCTTCCTAATAACGACTAAAAATTATAAATGCGGTTGCCAACCCGCTTGCCAAGCGTGACAACTATGGGAAATATTCCCCCTATAAGACAATCTATGGGGGAGGCCTATTTTCAGTAGTGGACTTTAATAGGCTAGTTATAGCCTATTAAAGTCCACTACTGAAAATAGGCCTATATAATATTACCGTTAGGTAACGGTATACTTAGTAGAGTAAAGTCGGCGACGCTGTTCAAAGGTACTTTGTAACTGTCCAGTGCGGGATAAGTTATTTAATATATATTTTATTTTTCGCACACAATTCCTGAGAGTGATCATCTCTATCGTTCCAAATCCAGTCCGATTTGGTGTCTGCCTTTTTATTTTGTAAGCTTACATAAAAATATTTAAAATAATTCTATTAATAAACAAACTTTTGGATTATATAAAAATACAGAACAAATAATATCTTAAAATATATTATCATGTTTTACTATCCCAAGGACTCCACTATAGTAAAATTATTTTGTACGTGCAGTTGGGGTCATAAATCATAGCTCGGGCTCAGGACGGCCGATAACAACAAATGAATCATCGAAGGCAGGTACACGGCGGCGGTGTGGTATACAAAGGCTGGAGCGACATTGTTATGTTATGAGTCAGTTTTCCATTATTACCCCCGCCTAATACCAAATTAGTGCAATGATAATTTAGTACATATATCGAAGAGAAATTTGTTTTTGCACATTCGCTCTCTGAATTTCTTTAGCAACACAATGGCTACTCCTTTGTTTTGTACAAAAACGGCAGAATTTATTCAAAATATTATTTTGCCTGTTGGCACCAACATGCCAGCATAAGCACGTGTTGTTATCAACAATGTTTTAACATTTTTCACTGAAATGAAAATAGATACCGAAAAGTTACAAAGTTTTAATTTCTGTCGTTCTCGTAAACTTGCTGCGGCGATATATGGTGTGAGTGTTAGAGCGGTCGACATAATAAAAAAGGGTGCATAAAGGGAGAAGTTAGCGCTCCACGACAAAGCGTCTATCGACCTTGTACAGTAACTGCGTTAGATGACTTTGACAAAAGTGTAATTAAACAAATAGTAATAGTAGTCGTTTTATTATTAAAGGACTGACATCGTTTGTGCGCGGCTATAATTCCTGAGAGATAGTGAAGATACTCGACCAAGAATTTATTTAGATGAGACTTGGGTGATCCAAACGCAAACGAATTTGGCTAGACAAGGATGGGCAAGGCGGCTTAAACACAAAAACGAGAAAGGGGGGCAGACTAATTGGTAAATATTCTTCCGTCTTTTATGTAAGAAATACTACTCAATAATAATTTAATAGAAAATATGATATTAATTTAATTATGTTGTTTCAGTTTGTCATGCAGGCTGCGCAAAATATGGTTTTATACCCGAAGCGAGATGGGTATTCTATGCTGTGAAGTCTCAGAACGAGAACTACCATTCAGAAATGAATGCCGAAGGCTTCACAGACTGGTTTACAAAGCTGCTGCAGTCTTGAAGAACCATCATAATGGACAACGCACCCTCACTCCCAGCAAATAAATCGGGCACCGACATCAGCTAACAAAAAGAGTGAAATTGAGGAGTGGCTCCGCCAACACGGGATTGAGTTTAGTGATAGTGAGCTCAAGCCGGAACTATTACAAAAGGTATTTATGATTTTATTATTTAAAGTTTGCAATACATTTGTTTTCTTTTAAGTATTTAGTTGTATATACAAACAACATTATATTTACAGGTGCAACGGAACCGACCAGAAAAAATATACAAATTGGATCAGTTAGCTTTGGAGTCAGGACACGAAGTGATTCGCTTACCACCTTACTATTGCCAATATAACCCAATTGAGTTGGTATGGGCTCAAGCAAAACATGAAGTGGCCACCAAAAACAGCACTTTTAAAATTGCAGATGTCGAAGTGTTACTGCATGAAGCAATTTCAAACGTTTCGCATAAGAACTGGGAAGATCGTGTGAAGCATGCAGAAAAACTCCAAGAGGAAGACTTGAAGAAATCTCATATGGCAGAAGATATCGTAATTCATGTGGATTACGATGATTCTGATGTAGAATTTTAATGTAAATAGTTTTAGATTTAATTTTAGATATAAGTTATTATCTTTATATTTATATTATTTTTTCCAGAATCCTGGAAAATTGCAGCAGTGTCACATATTTTCAAAAATGGCTCTCCTTGCCGGAAAACTACAGACCAATCTCTTTACTTAGCATCATATCGAAAATTCTAGAGAAAATAGTGAACAGGCAACTTGTCCGTTTTCTACATAAAAATCGGATTATCTCGGATAAGCAATATGGTTTTCGACAGGGAAAATCGACCGACGACGCTGTAGTAGCACTAGCTGACCAGATATCACAACACGTGGAGAGTGGGAAATGTTGCATAGGTGTTTTTCTCGACCTGTCGCGAGCTTTTGACACTGTCTCAGTTGGCCTTCTCTTGAAAAAGCTAAAAGCCGCTGGAGGGGAAATACACTTCAATGGTTTGAAACTTACCTTAAAATGCGAAAACAGTGCGTAAAAGTAGGAAAACACTAGTGTGTTTTCCTACTTTTACGCACGCATGCAGTTGCCTACCAGTGTAGGCAACTGCATGTTAATTTTGGCATTCCCCAGGGCAGTACTCTTGGACCTACTCTCTTCACTTTGTACTTGAACGATATCCTCGAACAAAAATTGCCTAATTCAAATGTAATCGCTTACGCAGATGATACAACCATATTGTTTCACGATACGACATGGAGGTTAGTATACAGTACCGCGGAACAAGGCCTATCTCGAATTGCCATGTCCTTAAATGTAAATCTACTTACACTAAATCAGAAAAACACTACATAAATATGCTTTTCTAAATCTAGACGAACGAGTCCTCCGATTGCTATTCTTTTAACAATTCATTACTGCAGGAATGATTATTCCTATCTGCATGGCTGTAACTGTGAACCGATTGCGCGCTCTGAAATGACCAAATATCTTGGAGTTATCATAGATGAAAACCTAACATTTAATGCCCATATTTCAAATCTGTCTTTCCTTGTGCGAAAGTTCATTTTCATTATGAAAAAACTGGGAGTTTGTACTCCTGTGGATATAATACTTCAGGTATACTTTGCATTATGCCAGTCTATATTGCAGTATTGCATTTGTGTTTGGGGCCGCGCTGGGAGGACTGCATTTATGACATTGGAAAGGTGAGCCCTTTCCAATGTCACGTGCACTAATTAAAGTAATATTGAATAAGTCATTCACATACTCCACCAACTCCCTGTATGAAGAATTTAAAGTACTACGGGTATGACAGCTGTTTATTTACAATGCCACACTCAAAGTGCACAAAACTGTAAAATCTCGCCCGGATTACAATGATTTAAGAAGCAAACAAACCTTTAGAATCCCCGTTCCAATCGTAAAGTCAGACCTAGCCAAACGTTGTCCCACATTCACTCATCCCTTCATTTACAATAGAATATTAAAAATAATTGACCTTAGAGACCGCTCACTTTCCTCATGTAAAACCTTACTAAAGAACATGCTCTATACTTTAACATATAATGACACTGAAGAGCTAATTAAATAGCACATATGACACAAGCATACACACACACACACACACACACACACACACACACACACACTCATACTCACTCACTCACAAACTGGACTCGAACGAACTCCGTCTTATTTCAACTATTATAGTCATCTACAAGCGCTATAATTAATTTTTAATTTTAATTGTGTAGTGAAATAATACCACCATATTATTTGTATTAGAAACATTACTTTTAACCTCCGATGTCAATCATGTTATGTTAGAACTACCGTATAGTATATCTTTAAGTAAATGTTGTCCAGTGACAAAACATTTTGTAATATCGCATGCCAGGGTCCTGATATACAAGCTGCGCTTGGTTTAGGACCCGCAGTTACCTGTGTTTTTATACTTATTTGTTAAATAAATAAATAAAATAAATAAATTTATCTTTAATATAACTTGTTACATTCCAAACATTAGTACTTATTTTTTTAATACAAAAACAACTAATTTATAATTTATTTTAAATAATTATTATTCTTATTTTAATAAATACGTTGTTTTATCAATTTTTTTGTTTTTATCACTAACCCACATAATGACAAAACTAAATACACTATCGATAACGCTTATCGACAACAATAATGCGCATCACTATGCTCGCCCCTAAGGCCTGTGAGTGGGAGAGAGAGCGAAATACACCGATGATTTATGACTCAAACTGCACGGACAGAATAATTCTAGTATAGGTTATTAAGTACTATATCTAAAAATATTGATTCTTGTAGTACATAAAATTTCCAACCGATATTGGATTAAGTCGATTTTAGCCGCCCTTTAAATAATGCCGTTCAACAGTTAAAAATGTAAGTGATATGTAAAGTACCTATATCGGAAACTGAGAACTGCTAAAATATCGAGTTACAAATAACCAAGTTAAATATTCTAAATAAATCGTTGAAGATTTTGTGACGTGACAATTTCTGTTCTAAATTGTCGGTCTAATAGTACACATAGAAGTCTCTAGTGCTGTCACCCTTGAGGTCTATGATGGATTGACCGGTTACTATAAAATGGTCTCCGATTCTAGTCACCCACCATAAGAAACCACAAACCATGCCTGATACATTGGCGACACTAGGCAAACATTCTAGATGTTTCTACAGTAGAAGAATCTGGAATTATCTGAGGCCCTATATAAGACCGATAGACCGCGACCCGGGTCAGTGTTGAATTGGCGATACAAGCGAATACTTCGAAGCTATGCAACTGCGAACTAAAGTGATCAGTAGTACAATTGTGTTTTGTTATTAGTGTGGTTTTAAGTTGTAATTAGTGTTCTGTAATTAAAAGGTCAATTTTGGTAATTGACTTGGCAGTTTTTAATTGTCTCGAACCCCAAGCTCGTAACAATATTATGCTGTTGACATGTGTATGATACATTAATACCAACTTATTAATGTATTTTTTGATTAAAATATCAAAAATAGAAAATATTACCAATAGAAGGTCTAAGGATTATCACAGGGATCTGTTTCATTGCTTCTACAGCCAGTGCTTCAGCGAGCGCCTTTGTGAACGCATACGAATTCGGCAGGTTGTTGAGTAGCCTATGGAAAAAAAATTATGCCATTTATTAATATTTTTTTATTATATTTATTTACTTGAAACCTATGCATTTTATGATTTATGTACGACCTTAGAGTATTCATAGCTTGCATATACTCTAAGTTTATAACGTAACTCTTGACAGTGGGAGGTTTTGGCGGGAACTTGAACGGCGGCGGTTTGCTGCTCCTGTATTATTGTTTAAATAATGATTTGAAGTGGATTTTGATATGTAAAAGTGATGCGATGTTGTGTATTAAGTGTCTGCGCATGTGAACTATTAGTGGAAACGGTGAAACAAGTGCTCTGATGGTGATGTGATTCTTAAGATAAGGTGTCTGTCTGCTTAGGCGCCTTGAGATACCATCGCCAACTGTCAGCTGTCTGCTGGCTCAAGTTGCCGTCCGAATTTCCCAAGGGCTGCACAATGTGACGCATCAATATATTGTGAAGCAGTGTACTAGGAAGGATAATAATTATATATTGAACTTCAGGCTCAAAAGGGCTAGAACCCAGAGCCGTAAAGCCAGTTATAAAAAAATCTTGACAGTGAGAGTTTTGGCGGGAACTTGAACGGTGGAGGATTGCTGCTCTATTATTTTTTATTTTTGCACTATTATTTTTATTATATTATTATTGTTTAAATAATGATTTGAAGTATATTTTGATATGTAAAAGCGGTACGATTTTGTGTAGTAAGTGTCTGTGCATGTGAACTATTAATAGAAACGGTGAAAAAAGTGCTCTGGTGGTGATGTGATTTTCAAGACAAGGTCTGTCTGCTTAGGCGCCTTGAGATACCATCGCCAACTGTCAGCTGTCTGCTGGATCAAGTTGCCGTCAAAATCTCCCAGGGGCTGCACAATGTGACGCATCAACATATTGTGAAGCAGTGACTATGAAGGATAATTATACATTGTAACTTCAGGCTCAGAAGGGCTAGAACCCAGAGCCGTAAAGCATGTTATAAAAAAAATCTTGACAGTGAAGTGGCGGTGTGAGAATACTCCATACTCCATATCATCCCGTGGGTGTTGTAAGGCGACAGAGCGTAATGAAGCTGGAGATGTGCAGCAGCTTGTTCTTGATAACAGCTCAAAATTAAATATAACTTCGGTTGTTAACCGCCTGCGAAGCGTGGAATCTATGGCAAAATTCGCTATGAGGCATGTGCATCTGTTTGGAGATTTTATCCAATCTAATCTTAAAAACGTTTACTGTAGGAGCATCAATCACATTTTGTAGTAGCTTATTTCAATTAGTAACAACACGATTTGAATCAAAATTCTTCATGGGACGTACCCACTGCCGAGCGCAGGCCTCCTCTCATTTCTGAGATGGTTTTAGGGCAAGGAAGTGTTCGCCGCGCTGCCCCAATGCGTATCGGCGAACTTTACATGTCTTCCAAATATATTTTTTTCTTATTTCTCAGATATGCAGGTTTCCTCACGATGTTTTCCTTCACCGCCGAGCACGTGGTTAACCAGCACTTAAAATTACAATTAAAAATTTCATATCAGCCGGCGGGGATCTAACCCCGGTTGCTCGCGTACTGTGAAATTTACAATGAGCGCTAACCATCTGAGCTACCACGGCTCCTCTGTTTATATGTCATGCGTTAAATAAAACTAGCACAAATATGAATGATTTTTTATATTGTCCATACTTAGGCGCAATATGCTCGATGGTTTCCGTATTGAATATTTCCGCAGCGGCGAGAACTTTGTGCGGGTCAGCTGGTGGATCATAAGGTCTCTCTTCCAGTAGCTTCTCGTGGAGGTGGCAATAGGCAGTCGATATGTGGATGAACAACTGCACAACAACAAGCAAACATTAAAATGTCATGAAACAAAAAAGAGGCGTGTAGTGGCGGTCGCCGTGTAGTTTATTGCACGCCTCATAACGCGAAGCGTTATTAGGTTAATGTATTACTCTCGACACGTCAAGGTTAAGCAATTTTGTGGTCTTAAAATACCTCTATCATAACCATATTGCACTTATACGATAATATGAGTAGCCGTATATAAAGAAAACACTGTAATTAATCCACCTTATATTTTCTAAAAAAATCATTTTATATAAAACCGTATGAAAAAAATTTACGTATCGAGACCGGTTCTTTTTTATTAGCTTCAGAGTTACATCAACTGGTTCCCTATTTCATATCAATAGCCTAGTACGCGACGTTTGTTAATAAAATGATTTTCAAGTTTTATTGCTATTAAAATTTTTAGGCGCTTTTACTTTTTTCTTTAGTCCTTGATAGACAAAGGACAAATGTACATACAGCTTAAATCGATTTTATACTTTGTGTAATCGATTTATTTTGGTAATTTATTTTTTTCATAAAAACTCAATGAATCGCTCATTAGGTGTGCACTTTTGGATTTTCCAAACTATTTATTTATTTATCTATTTATACTTTATTGCACAAAGTAGTATTTATGGCGGACTTAATGACAGGGCATTCTCTCCCAGTCAATCATTAGGTTATACTAAGATAGACATTTAAAATGCGGTGCAGCAAATATTTTTAAATGTTGGCCAAGTGCGACTCGGACTCGCGCATGAAGGGTTCAGTACATTAATTTCAAAATAACATTTATAACTAGCGATCCGCTCTAGCTTTAGCTGGGTGGGGTCTATTAATCTGGCGTTATCGGTGTAGTTTAAATAACGCCACAATTATTTCATTTTATCAATATTACTAATTTATTAAAATTTCTAAAATTTTCGAATAACAGATCACTTCTGGTGTTACTCTCCTATTCGTTCGTAAAGACGGTCGTAGAAGGTTTAGCCATTCCGAAGATTAGTTTAGACAGACAGACAACAGTGGTAGAGCCACGTGGCGGCTTTTGCTGTCGCACAGATGGACCGGCTCGAACCGGGATGGTACCACGACCTTAAAGAACACCAGCGTGAAGTAGAGGTTTACTTCTGCGTTTCGCTTGGTGAGTGCAGGTGGCCGGAGGCCCTTTTTACTGGAAATGAGGCATTTCATCTTAGTCCTCACGGGTGACAACGCATCTGCATTTTGATTTGTAATAGAGGATAGATGTAGATGTATATGGGCCGCAGCAACCATTTACCATCAGGTGGACTGTGTGCTCGTTTGTCACCCTTATCCTATAAAAAATAAAAAAAAAAACAAACGAGAATTCGTCGAGAAAACGAGAGATGTTATATTTATAAATGGCTTTTTACCCGCGGCTTCGTTCGCGTGAGCTTGAATTTAGGAACATCAATAAATGCTGTTGCCAAATTTAGCAAAATTTGATCATTTTTAGAGTCACCTCGGTGTCTGTGTCTCTATGTCTGTCAAAGATTTTTTTTAATTCTAAAAGACTATTAGACGTAGATGAATGGTATTTGAGATAGATATAATATGTTACAGGAACACTTGAATATATATGTCTAGAAACATCTACTATTTTTATATCGGGCGTGTCTTCCGATGTATCCATAAGAAAGGTAAATAGTCTTGGAATTAAAATATATAACATTTTACTCTTTACATCCATTCATAATTAAAGTTAATTTAGTTTTAACAAAATAATTATGAATTTCATGGTCTTCTATCAGTTTACGGTGTAATGTTTATTTGAGATATTTTATTCATATCATTAATCCTATTTAATATTGATTGGCACCATAAAATAGATGTAGATATTTTATGGATAAGAAAGGTAAATAGTCTTGGAATTAAAATATATAACATTTTACTCTGTACATCCATTCATAATTAAAGTTAATTTAGTTTTAACAAAATAATTATGAATTTCATGGTCTTCTATCAGTTTACGGTATAATGTTTATTTGAGATATTTTATTCATATCATTAATCCTATTTAATATTGATTGGCACCATAAAATAGATGTAGATATTTTTTATGTTTGAATAGATTTCAAAATTTCATAAATGCCGTTCTATAATGATGTATGCTACACATGGAATAAAACTAATGTTAGGGATTTTATCACGTTTAATTTTTACTTTTTTTAAGTGTGGTTTTTTACGCATCTTTGGATGAAAGTTCCATAAAAAACCGTTGATGTGAAGCACCGACACTCCGGGAGGTCTAAAGTATGCCAACATGTTTAGTATTGTCGCAACCATTATATCTGATCTCATAGACAACAAATCCTTGCAATAGAACACCGATTCTTTCGACCGAAATTTAAAAAAACATCATAATTTTAATAGGGAAGACGGCTGAGTGCTACCATTTGCTAGAGACCCCATAATTAATAAAATTAAATTCAAACACAAGCATACTACTACATTTATTCTATTCTATTCTTATTCTATTCTATTGGAACTATGACATCAGGTTGTCAAACATCTCATTCCTCCCGTGACTATGGGTGCTGTAAAGTGCCCGAAACATCGGGAACTAAAAAAAACTTAAAATTAAACGCGATAAAATCCTTAAAATTAGTTTTAAAATGAGAACTATAGCAAATATCCAGCTACTTGACAATTTATGAGGCAGGCCTATGTTCATTTTAGTGGAGTTTTTAGTGGATAGGCTGACGATAATAAGTTCTACTCGTCTTTGCAACCCTTAATATTTACGGTAGAGTGAAAACAAAAAAGTAACATTCCCGAAAATATGAATGAAATAAAAACTACATATATTGCTCCATGAAAAGTAATAAAATAGCAGCTAATATGCTTCTCACTACTGTACACAGAGCTCTCCATTACCTATAGTGTTTTATGGGCAAAAAATAGAGTATGCTGTAATGCTTCAATGCATATTAACGGTATTCACATCTTCACGACTATTTTAATTACTCAGATATCTAGGTGTCCCCACGAAGTTTACTTCACCACTTTAACGGACACGGGTTAAGTCAGCACGTAAAATTTTCTATAATAGATTCATCCTCAGTGGAATTTTGCTCCCGTGCCATGATGAAATCTCACGGCGAGCTACACGGCCCAACGATCCCACGAACGAATTTTCAATTATTTACTTCGTTTATTCGGTACCTAGCATTCTATTATTTAATTTTATAAGTGACTTACTATTTTAGTTTATTTAGAAGTAAGTAGATGGCGCTATTATTAGATGAAATAATGAAAGCCAAATCTATACTATCTAGTAATATCAGCGATAAAAGAGAACATCTATTTATTATATAAAGTCATGTCAATTCTGATAATAGTTCTGTTTCTGTTAAAAATGCGCTACCAGCGCTGCTAGCGGTGAGAAACGATTTAATGATATCGTCATATGTCCATATCATGAAATAGCAACGTTGAGTTTAGTTAAACTTTAAACGATTTCTATTCATTGATTTGGTAAAGCTATATCATGACATGGTCAACAAACAGTTTTAAATATCATGAAATAACCACACCATTTCACGAAATGATAGACTACTTATGTTATGTGATCAATTCTACGATCTGACCACGACATATATAAAAATCTCTTTAATAAAACTATAATGATAATGAAAATTTTGCAATAATTGCAGATAGACCACTTTTAACCAGTTCACATATAGATTAGTATAATTGAAATGAAAACGTTATCAATTTTCATATTTTTGATAGAAGTCACTATTATGATATTATCTATTGAAATGATTACACTTTTAAAATTAAATAACAAAAACACTAGAAAACTAAACGTTAGAATTTTTAAATAATTTTAAAAATGTAATTATTGAAACATGTAAATGTAAGTTATTTATATTATTTATTCTATTATTTACTGAAGGCTAAATATACAATTTTTTACATTTGATGATAGATGGCGCTGTTTTGATAATTAAATCGGTGTAGTTTCAAATTATTTTACCAAGGTTATAACTAATATAAATATTTTAAACTTTATTTATAAATATGGTACTTATTTGAAAAACACCCGTCATCCCGTCTATAACTAAGATATAATAGAAAATTAACATCTAAAGAAAGGAAAATACTTAACCTTCTTTTTTTGAAATTCCGTAATCGGATAAAAAGTAGCCTATAAATTGCCCCGGGTTACTAATTACCTACATACAAAATTTCACGTAAATCAGTCCAGTAGTTTTTGCGTGAATTCAGAATACACAGAAAGACAGACAGACAAAAATTCTAAAAACTACTAATTTGGCTTCAGAACCTTTTATTTAGTCCCCTGAACTTGTTTTTTCAAGAATATATTAGAATTACAGACAAGACTTTTCTACAGATTTATTATACGTATAGATGCTTAATCACGTCTCAATAGCATGCAAATATTTTATACAAAAATATTAACAAACAAAATCAGCAATAATTATAAAGAAAACTCTCAAAACGCTTCGTAGCTAACAAATTAGCGAAAACGGACTGAATTATCATTTAATCCTATGACAAGTTGGCCTGAAGTTATAGAATGTATGAAAAACGCATGTCGCACTTAGTTTTTTTGGGTCTTTACCGGCAGGAGTGAGTGTATACATCGACAGTGTACGAGCGAGAGATGAATAGTAGTGACGCCATTTTCAATCCCATTCTTTAACCGCACGGTTAGGAAGCTAGCTTCTAAACAGCTTGTCTGGTTGCCTTACCTGGCCTTACCTATACCGAATTTTTTCTAACGTAGATGATGCGTAAGACATTTGAGGACATAGAATACAAAAATTAAAATATATTTTTTTTTATTATTTTTAAGGGACTAGCATACTGACATACTGTCAATCTTAAGTTAAAATGTAGTGAATAAAGTCTTTGCTAAATCAAAAATAAATTAAATAAATACATACGTCGTACGTTGATCAGAATCAGAATCAGAATCAGAATATTTATTGCCAATAAGCTGTGTATGTACAATTTGCGGGTGACATTGCAATTAAATGTTACACAGTTTACCCATATCGGGTATGCAATAATTAAGAAATAAAACTTTATATAAATTAATGTTTGGTATTAAAATATTCATTTAAATTATAAAACACATTATATATTAACCACTTCTTGAGGTGTATTTTAAATCTTGGCAAGTCCATAGCTTTTATATTAGGTGGCAGATGATTGAATATTTTAATACCTGTACAAAAAGTGCTCTTATAATACATGTAATTATTAATTTTAGGTGTACATAAATTGTTCTTATATTGACTACGTATTGGACGTGAATTCAAGTTTGATTTAATCTGAAAATATTTGTTATTCTGTTTGATAAAAATTGAAATTTCTAAAATGTAAATATTAGTAAGAGTGAGATAACCTTTTTCTTTGAATACATTTCTTAGAGTTTCGTCTGAGTACATATTATAAATGATCCTCAGACATCGCTTTTGTAGAATAAATGTTGACTGCACGTTTGTAGAATTACCCCAGAAAATAATGCCGTAAACTAATAGAGGGTATACCTGGCCGAAGTATGCAGCCCTTGATACATTAACGGAAGTTGTTTCTGCTAATATGGATAATGCGTAACTATAGCTAGATATTTTTTTGTTTATTTTTTCAATGTGGGATTTCCAGTTTAAATGACAGTCTATGGTGACTCCAAGAAAATTAATGTTATCAACTGTTTCTATTTGGGTGTCTTTATCTGCAATATTTAAATTTAAAGATTTTGTTTTGTAATTTCTGAATTGAATAATTTTAGTTTTTGTTAGATTTACGTTTAAATTAATTTTATTAAGCCATTCGACTGCTATTTTTAAGGTTTTATTTATGTTATTTTCAAAATTCATTTGAGTATCGGGTATAAAGATAGTTGCATCATCAGCAAACATAACACATCTATTGTCAGTGACATTTGGCAAGTCATTCACATAAACTAAGAATAACAGAGGGCCCAAAATACTCCCCTGTGGCAAACCTAGTGTCATTTTAACTGGCTTGGACTGTACTTCTTCGAAAGTTTTACTGATTTTGTCAAATTTTTCAATAGCTGTGAGTTGTTCTCTATTTTTTAAATAGCTTTCTAACAGTTTTAATGCCAAACCACGTATACCTAATTTGTCAAGTTTATTTAATAGTACATCGTATATTACACAGTCAAATGCCCTTGACATATCTAAAAACAAACCTACACAAGAAGTTTTATTATTTAAAGATTCCCAAATTTCCTTAAGTATTTCATACATTGCAAGTGTAGTGGATTTATTTTTCTGAAAACCAAATTGATTTTTATTTATTATACTATATTTTTTGAAAAACTCTATAATCCTATCGTAGATGATTCTTTCAAATATTTTTGAAAAGTTGGATAAAAGAGCTATGGGCCTATAGTCTTTGATATTACATTTTGAACCTTTTTTGAACAAAGGTTTGATTTTTGCTGTTTTTAATTCATGTGGAAAGGTACCAGTTTCTATCATTAAGTTAAGTAAATAAACAAGCGGCTCACTAATATACTCTATGGATTTTTTAATAATTTGGATCGATATATTGTCATAGCCGCAACTCTTTTTATTTTTCAGGTTTGTGATTATTTTTTTCAATTCATTTGCGTCAACGGGTGATAAATATAGGCTATGTAGATGTGTAGATGGTAGAGGGTAGGTATCTGTGGCTTGTGTTTGAGTGTTAATGGTAGCAAAATAAGTGTTAAAAACTTCTGCTATAGTCTGCTGATTGTTACTATGATGGCGTGTTAACATAACGTATATGTTAAATAAAATAACAAAAACTGATTTCAACAAAATAGAAACAGCTAATGTTTGACTTGAGATTTAGGGCTCAATTTAAGGAATAGAAGCGAATTTTTGTAACGAAATAGTACATAGTAAAATGAGTTTTATGTTAATTGTGTAACTAGCAAACTATATATGAGCCAAAAATGAATTTGCGCGTTTTCCAAGGAATTCTCGCGCATTCTCGAGAATTCCCGTAGCTACTGTCGGCGCAGTCTGTGGATTCCGCGGAAAGTTGCGCGAAGGGTGACGTTTTCGTTTCTTTCATAAATCATGAACCCAAATATTTCTTTTCCTTTTTCTGATATTCTTCCTTTTATCATAATTTTCTTCTTCTGTCTCACAAATAAGCAGTATGAAAATAATATCCAACGAACCATTCTTGTGAAATAAACTATCTAGACTAAATAACTGAACGCTTTCTATAGCCTCAGGGCACGGTCGCGGTAATGCTCGTTGCTCGAGCATTCTCGCGAATTCGCGCGCCTTCTCGCTCGACGAGGCGAAATTGACGCTTCCGTTCCATTCTGTTCCGTCGTAATGTAAATTGAGCCGTGTCAATTTTAATACCGTTACAAGTTGTTACATTGTTTGTGGGATACGATTTGTTTCAGAAGAAAAACACATATTATACCCTACCTTTAATTTTTTGCATTCCTTTGCTAAATCCAAAATAAGTTTGGTGCCTCTAACGTTTAGCAGTATGGCTTTCTTCAACGCCTCGTCGAATCTAAAAAAAATATTTTCATGGTATATTTTTAAGCTTTTTTATTTTAGAGTTTTTATTACATACCGAGATTTATTCATCTTTAGTATGATGGAGTTATCAGGAACTTAACCATAGTTACAAAAAAATATAATATAATATGATGCCATGGAATAGAGAAATGTTAGATAGGCACCTGCATGCATGTGCATTCCAAACTCATATAATAGCCAGACTAACGTCATCCGTCATCATCAACATCATCATCATTACAGCCCTCCACAAGTCGTAAAAGGCGACTATGGGATATGCTAATAATCTTATGGCTTCAATAGATTGTTTACACCATTGTTAAATACCCATTTCAGCAGTGGACTTTTATAGACTGTAAAAATACCCAGAAAATTAAGAAGTCACCAACCTTACTGTAGCAGCAGCGTGCACTATAATGTCCACATTGTCGATAATGTATTGGCGGCAACTAGCTGACATGGCGAGGTCCGGTTCGCTCACATCCCCACCAATAATGCGCATTTTGGATAGCAGCTTGTCGACGCCACCTCGCAATGCTGCCACCTTTGCAAAGAGCTGCAAGAGGGATAAGCATATATTTACCGTGCCATGTTCTTTCATACATTATATCAAAATGCAGGTGTGTTGTATTTTACCTCTAAGGTCTAAAATCGAATGCTTTAAAAACCTTTTACTTAACTTCACTTGTATGTGTATGTCATGGAATTTAGTAATCAATATTGCACTCATTTCCACTCAAAGACATTTAAGTAGTTAGTATACCTATATATTTAAATCCCTTTGTTTCCACTAAAGCTAGGTATAAGGCTAAAATTTTGCACACACATTTGGTTCTTGTAACAATGCACGATTATTTAAATGCCGCCATTTTAATCCAATATGGCGGACGTTACAAAATAGCGATTTATTATTTCCACAGCAACCTTTATGATGTGGGTAGCAAACGAAAGGGCTTGATAAGCGAAACAATATAAGTAAAGTGACGTTATTGTGGCGGCGCTGTCATCGCGCCACAAGCGAAACACATCGAAGCCTAAATCGCACGAACAAAGTTCCGAAGTTAAAGCAGCATATTATATAGAATAGCTCCGAACTACCAATCGGAGCGTTGGCCGCTCCCCGGGCAGAACACCTTGCCCGGCGGGAGATCTCCCCTTTTCCTTCCACCCGCCACAGTTATTCTAAATCCAATACGGCGGACATCACAAACTAGCGATTTATAATTACCATAGTAACCCATATGATATGAGTGTCAAATGAAAGGGCATGATGAGCAAAACACAAGAAGTGAAGTGACGTCATTATAAATTTAATGTGACAGACGTCACAAAATGGCGATTTAAAATTTCCATGCTAACCCATATGATATAAGTATCAAATTAAAGGTTTTGATGAGCGAAACACAATAAGTAAAGTCACGTCATTCTAAATGTAATATGGCGGACCGGTTACTTTTTATACACTTCCATATCATGGGTATTATATAAAAGGATTTGCTGGGAAGAATACGAAAAATAAAGTGACGTCACTCTAAATCCAATATAGTGGACTCCCAAAGATGGCGGATTATGTTTTTTATTCACACCCATGATATGGATATATAAATATAAAACCTTTTTAAAAGGCCGGCAACGCATCTGCAATTCCCCTGGTTCACCTGGTGTTGCAGTTGTTCATGGGCGGCGGTAGTCACTTACCATCAGATGAGCCGCATGCTCGTTTGCACCCTCTTCTATAAAAAGATGTAAAAGAATGCAAATAAAATGACGTTCTCGTTCAGCTTTTCGAGGAGATGGTGTACTACTGTCCAACATCTCTGCTACTGGTAAGACTAAGTGGGGTTGTGTCTTAACTAATATCGACATACACCCTGGGCAAATCCTAGCGGTTGTGAAAAAAAATCAAAATGGCGGAAAAATATAAAGACTATATATAACTCGGCAATGGTTAGGGGTAGATTGGTGATGCACGAACTCGAACAAATGTTGTGAAGACCGACAAGGGTCAACTCCTGGTGATAAAAATTCAAGATGGCGAATATAAGATGGCGATCAAAAACCGACAATGACGCATTAAATGAAGTGAACAAACTTAGAAACATGTCCAGCAATAACTAAGGAAATAAAAATAAACTAATAGTTTTAAAAACAAGCTTTTATTTAAATGCACTAAAAAGAAGAAAATAAACTTTAAATTAAATGAAACCCATTAATTTATTACATTATACAATTTATATGATTGCTTGTCGCGAGATTTACCTATGTACATAAACGAGAATACAATATGTAACTTGATATTGATAAGGTTAATTCTAAGAAAAAGGTTTTATTTACTAATATTAATTTTTTTTAAAATAATAGGGTACTTTTTAAGATTATACACGGTAGAGCCACGCTTCAGCTATGATATGGTTGTAGCAGAAAAAGGGTCGGCTCGACCGCGGGAAGGACCACGCTCTCCCAGAGTACCAGCGTGAAATGGCAGCTTAATGATGCTGTGTTGCGTATGTGGAGAACCGAAGACCCTTTTACTGGAAACGAGGCATTCCACCTTATTCCTTAGGGGTGACAACGTGGACATTTTGATTCTTAATCGAGGATAGATTTGAATATCTATGAGCCACAGCATTCACTTACCATCAGGTGAACTGTGCTCGTTTGCCACCCTTATTCTATTAAAACTAGAGTAAAAATGGTTCCCGGTTCTCTACACTTACTATATAAAATACAGCATAACATTATGCTGCTACTTGATGGTATTCTGTGAAAGTGTGGTTCTTCATCGACCAATTTGAACTGCAGCCATAATATGGTACAAAGTAGCTCTGACACTATTGACCACCACGCAACATTCCTAAGCAAATAAAGCTATAGGTGCGTTGTCATCTCTGTGGATCAAGATAGAATGATTTACGACCTGTACTATTACTGACGCGTTGGTCTACTGATCTCGAGGGTACGAGTCCCGGGTCGAGCTAAAATCGGTTATTGGATTTTTCTGGTAATAAATTTTCATCGTCAGTCCGGAGTCAGGAAATTGGTGGTGTTTCACATTCGTGCCTCGGAAAGCACGTAAGTCCGTTGGTCCTGCGCCATATTTCTCTTCGGTCGTGTTGAATTACCGTCCCATCGGACTATGAGAGTGAGGGAATAGAGAGTGCACTTGTGTTCGCGCTTACACTCTTTTACTATAATCCTGTCCCGCACAGATGGGTAGTCTCCATTGAAACTGGCCTCCGTGGCCTCTGTCTGGAGGACATTATTATTATCACTGACTCTAGGTGTAATATTAAATACTAACTTACCGGTTCACTAAATATTAGCTGTAAACGCTCCTGTGGACATTTCCCTTTCTTGTTTCGTACAAGAACCACTATTTCGCGAATGTCGGGGCATTTTCTGCAACAAAAAAACCGTTTATAATACGTACTCAAGGTCACTCAGCGACTATTGAGAGGGCTATGCTCGGGGTTTCTCTGCGTGATAAACTTAGAAATGGAGATATCCGCAGTGGAATCAGAGTGACCGACATAGCCCAACAGATTGGTAAGCTGAAGTGGCAATGGGCCGGCCATATAGCTAGAAGAACCGACAACCGGTGGGGAAAAAAGGTTCTCGAGTGGCAGCCCCGTACGGGTAGGCGAATTGTAGGGCGTGTAGCCCCCACCAGATGGAATGACGTCCTGTTAAGACATGCAGGAAGTCGATGGGTGCAGGTGGCTCAGGACAGTGCTTTGTGACATTCCTTGGGAGAGGCCTATGTTCAGCAGTGGACTTGTGAAGGGCTGTAATGATGATGATGATAACGTACACTCCGAAAAAATTTTCTCCCTCTTTACATAGTAAACTAGTGCTTGACTACAATCCCACTTCATGAGAAGTAGATTATTAAAAAGATTTCCTGTAAATCCAGGGTTCCCAGAGTGTGCGACGCGGCGCTCTGGGGCGCCGTAGGAGGTAAGTATGGAACACCGCTCCTGAAACCCTTTTGCGATAAGTCTTAAAACATGCATGTGCCGTTTTGGTGGAGTTAGATAACGGTCAAAAATGAATATCGAACTCTAGATTCAAAAGCTTTAAAAATTCCCAGTCCTTTTCAAAATCATATTTATGCGAAGCTGGATTTTGAACCGTAGCAAGAAAAAAGAGCAAACATTACTCAAAAGTCAATGTGAAGTAAGTGTAGCAGTACCAAATCTTATCGCGCATTTTGAAAGAAACTTCTGGAGATCAGTAAGTTTACACGATTGACTAACTTGTCATTGAAAGTTTTCACCTTTTGTATTTTAATTTTTTTATGTATATTATTACTAGCGTAATTTATACGTGTTTTATACGTGGTAGAGCCATGCTGCAGCTATATTAATTGTATAGTTGTAGCACGAATGGTTTGGCTTGGCCGGGGAAGGATCACGCTCTCACAGAATACAAGCGTAAAATAACATGTTTCATTCGTATGGTGAGTGTAAAGAACCGGATACCCTTTTTACTGGAAACGAAGCATTCCATCTTAGTCCTCACGGGTGACAACGCATATGCATTTTGATTTTTTATTGAGGATAGATGTAAATGTCTATGGGTCACAGCAACCACTTACCATCAGGTGGACTGTGTGCTCGTTTGTCACCTTATCCTATGTTATTATAATAGCGATCAACGCCGGCTTCGCACTGGTAATTTCTGGATCTCGATAACAGTGAACCTAATCTACCGAGTCCAATTGTGAACCTAAACGTTCAAGGGCTCACTCAATCGCACACAAAAATTTTCATGAAAATCCTTCGAGCCATTTTCGAGTTTTAGCGGTACTAACAGACAGCAATAATAATTGATTTTTATATATATAGAGATTTGTGAAAAGGTTGTTTCAATTCCTGTCTTATTAGCGTTATTTCACACATATATTAACAAGGGCGCAGTGACAAAATACTATACCTCTAAGTGCGCCGAGAGCTGAAAAAGTTTGGGAACCCTTGCTTAAATTATAACTCGAGTTATGTAATGACATCAGAGTAATTCGTACGTCAATCGTCGCGAGAGCTCATGGCGTTCCTGTGAGCCCGTGACATTGACACTGACTCGCTTCGGTGGTACCGGTAGTCACTTACCATCAGGTGAGCCGTATGTTTGTGTATATAAAAAAATCTTCGGTTGGGTACTGACGTCATATTTCAAAAAAAGTGTTGTTTTTTTTTTAAACATAGACTCTAACTTTTAGATTACCGTGTTAAATGTATTAATATTACAAAACGCTAGCAAATTTTTTCTGTTATGCTCCATAGCGCAACAGAAAAAGATAATAAAACCACATGAGTAAAACTTAGCGCAACCGAAAGAACGTTAACCTATAGACGTTACTCATCTGTGAGTAGAGTTGCCAAGTTTTGTTATATCAAATATAGTATTTCTTAACAACCTTCACCAGTGAACATTTAGTAGAAGGCGAAAAAGAAAAAAAAAACACATTTATTTCAGCGGTATAATTGCAGTAAATATTTTATTTTTAAAGGAATTATTTTTGCTCTGAAACTTTAGCAACAGCCTCACTTCATAGACAGCCCTTTTTTAATATAGTAGTTTTCTTACAGTATTCAGGCCACTTATATATTGACTTAGAAAGTACGAAGAAATATATAAGTCAATCATAAGACACTATATGCTATGATATATGTACTATCAGCGTTTTCCTAATAACACCACACAAAACACCCCCCCCCCCCTCCCCTCTACGACAGAAAGGTGTGGCACAGTATGGGAAAGTATTCCAAATATAATATATTCCGAAGTGGACTTTTGATAAACTACCATGGTAGAGTTGGCAACCCTATTCGTGAAACAGCCTTGACCGTAAAAATTAACATAATATTTATGTCGAGATCAAGCTTACGCGTTAGTGCTCGTTGTTACGTAAGCTATTGTAGTTGAAATTACTTGATGAAATCGAAATTCGAAACTGTTATCAATTATTAACGCACACATATTTTATTAAAACTATTCCTAGTTTGCTATATAGATTACCAATTTCCTACAATAACCTTTTACAACAATCACCGCACGAAATGCGGTGATGGATTCACTTAGAACACGGTCGTTAATTTAATTTAATTTTTATTCTATGGAGGTGAAGCTTTATCGACGTAGTGGAGAAATTTAGTACGGTGTTAAAAAACGTCGTTTTCTTGTAACTTTTGTTGCGTAAGTCTTATTTAATCTACTTATGTAAAATGTCTAATACGGATAGCCCAACGGATTAGTAAGCTGAAGTGGCAATGGGTCGGCCATATAGCACGAAGGACCGACAACCGAAGGGGAAAAAGGTTCTCGATTGAGAGCCTCCTACCGGCAGGCGAAGTGTAGAGCTTGCCCCCACTAGGTGGAGTGACGACCTGGCAACACATGCAGGATTTCGCTGGACGTAGGTGGCTCAGGATCGTGCTTTGTGGCATTCCTTTGGGGAGGCCTATGTTCAGCAGTGAATGTGTGTAGGCCTGTAATGATAATAATGATGATGATGCAAAATACAATAAAAAGAAGAACATAATATGTCGTAAAGAAGTTTCACTTCGTACATGTGAACACAATTACACAATTGAACTTTATTTGAATTAGATAAGCAATAACAAAAAGCAAATTGTAAAATAAAAAAAAATAAACAGTTCTAAAATTAAAAATATAATAGTCTAATCTACAATCTACAAGTAAAACAGTGTGCACTACTTAATTATACGCGATATTATTTAATTATACGTATAACTGCATTAGAAATTTAGAAACTTAGCCGAGTAAAAAGCAAACAAGTGATAAACAATTCATTTAATATTGAGAGAACATCCTACTTTTTTAATCTAAAAAGGGTGCTATCGAATATACGTCTTGAACAGGCTTTCTCAAACTTAGAGCCCCGCGTACCCTTAATGCTAGGCAAGTGCGCACCCCCAGAAAACTGCCTAATGAAATAAGGCTTATAAAAAAAAATATACAGTCCATAAACCCCAGGACAAACAACAAACTGTAGGGTTTCGCGTACCCCACTCTGAGATATTCTGATCAAGTTGAACGTTACTACGCTTGATCTGATCGTAATCGCGGCAAATTTTAATAACAGTATTGATAAAAGAAGTTTCATTCCTGTGAATCCTGTGTACGCCTAGCCTGAAAATTCTTTGATCGCGTTGTCTTATACTGGAATTGAAGTAAATCAGTCTTAGTATCTCGATCACAATCAATGGTTTCTTTTTTATGTTAACAGCAGGGGCGTAGCCGTATCAGCCGTATCAATGATACGGCGCTCCCGGTCTACAGGGGCCCCGGACGATGTAAGGAAAAATTTTAAGGACTTCTATAGGACTGGACGTTGGTTTGAATTGTTTGGCTAGCTTAGTTCCTAGGAGTATTAATTGTAAGTAATAACTTATAATCAATGTATAATTATTTTAATTCAATGCGAGAGTTTTTGTTCCTTTTGTGAAAAATCTTTACCCTTCATTTGGGCCCCCGACAAATTTTGATACAGGGCCCCTCTAAGGCACGCTACTCCACTGGTTAACAGCCATAGCTAAATATATGTATAACAGGATTTTGACATAGTTGCCACACTTGGCACATACTTACACAAATTGTTTTATTTCTATGTGCTTTAGTTACTTCTTTATTTATTATTCTATTTGTAATTGATAACACATTCTAATTTTCGCGTCTGCTCACCTCGTTGGTCTAGTGTCCGTAAACGCGAATGCTGGTCATGAGAAGAACCTCCCGAACGCGGAAGGGTTCGAATCGTGGGTCGGCCCAAAATCAGTTATTGGATTTTCTGTCAAGAAATTCTCAGTAACAACCCGGAGTCGGAAAGGTGGAGGTGTTTCACCCCCGTGCCTCGGAAAGTGCGTAAATCCGTTGGTCATGCGCCTGATGTCTCTCCGCTCGTTTCGGATTACCGTCCCAGTGGAGTAGGAGGTGAGGGAGGGAGTGAGGGAACAAAGAGTGCACTTGTGCTTGCGCATACATTTGGGCACTAAAATCCTGTCCAGCCAGTCGCAGAGGCTGCTGACTAGTCTCCGTAGAAACTAGCCGCCGTGACCGAAATTCTACAACCGTAACTAAGAATATTAATACACAAACATTGACATTAATTACCATCAAACATTACACAGCGACAATTGCGTGTAACTTATGATATCTCTGAGCGTTACCCAACATATCGCACGTGACCACGCTGACCTAACATATTGTACCGAAATTAAATCTTATGTAACAGTTGAGTCTTAAATAACACCTGCGAAAACTTCTAGGTTTTATCTATCAATGTGTGGCTCAGTTTGTTCAACATTCCATGTTCAGAACTCTTATAGAATTAAGTCTTGTGTTTGCACAAGTTCTGCTAAAATAAATTCTGGCCAATAGATCTAGTCAATTTGTTGTTTTTCGGATCTTTTTATTTATAGGATAGGGTGACAAAGGAGCACACAGTCCACCTGTTGTTAAGTGGTTGCTGTGACCCATAGACATCTACATTTTTATCCTCAATAAAGAATCAAAATGCAGATGCGTCGTCACCCGTGAATACTAAAATGAAATGCCTCTTTTCCAGTAAAATGGGTCTCCGGTTCTCTACACTCACCATACGAAACACAGCAGTGTGAAGCTGCTATTTTACGCTGGTATTCTGTGAGAGCATGGTTCTTCCCCGGTCGAGCCTGCCTATTCGTGCTACAACTATACTACTAATATAGCTGCAGCATGGCTCTACTACGTTAAAAAGACGTTAGAAAGATCTGGACGTAGATATGGTAATTGTCCCTGTGTCTCTCTCTAACAACACATCTATGGTATACACCTAGGCATGTATTTCGTGATGAGTGTCCTGAGTGTCTATTTGTCCTCCCCCAGACCGAACCGGTCACGGCGGTAAGTCTCAACGGAGACTGCCACAGGACAGGGTTATATTGCCTCGTGCACACAGGTGCATTCTCTATTTCCTGGCTTTAATTCGTCATAGTTCGATAGGATTGCAATCGGCCACCACCGGAGAGATACTCCTAGACAAGGGTGTAAAACCCCGCCAACCTAACTCTGGGCTTCTATTGAGAATTTCTTGTCAGAAGAACCCAATAATTGATGTTTAACCCGACCCGACACCACATAATCATCTACCATTCGCAGGTCGCACTTACGATAACGTGACCATAAATTTTTCCCTCAAAGCGGGATGCCCTTAAATTTTTATGGTTATAAAATGAAACACAAGAAAATGTGAACTAATCTTATAGTCTGGTGCGTTGGCTTTTATACTATTCGCTATTCTTCTTACGTGGTAGAGCCATGCTGCAGCTATATTAGTAGTATAGTTGTAGCACGAATGGGTCGGCTCGACCGGGGAAACACCACGCTGTCACAGGATACCAACGTAAAATAGCAGCTTAACGCTGCTATGTTTCGTATGGTGAGTGTAAATAACCGGAGACCCTTTTTACTGGAAACGAGGCATTCCATCTTAGTTCTCACAGGTGACAACGCGTCTTAAGTTAGACGGGACAAATGGCTTAAAACTGTACCGCTCAAAGCAGGACGTTTGAAGCACGAGGCAATCCTACCCTCATTAGTTTGTAACTGTCTAATCCGAAGGAAGATTTGCACAATCGCCTCGCATAGCAGGTGTATTGGAGGACGCAGTTCCAGACATCTATTATATTATTGATGCTTCCTGTTTTAGGTATTTTATATTTCTTTTGTGGTGGCGCTGTCGTCGCGCCACAAGCGACACACATCGAAACCTAAATCGCGCTAACAAAATTCCGAAGTTAAAGCAGTATATATAAAATAGCTCCGAATAGCTTTATCACAGAGAATATTCCTTAGGCCGATTGTTAACGAGTCTCAAAAGCCGAAACGTTAAATTTATTAGGATTCAGTATAATTCGACTTAAACATTATATATTTATCAAAAGTCCACTACTGAACATAGGCCTCCCCCTTACCTATGTAAAAAACCCTTTGAGGCTATTCTCAAAGGCTTCCAGGCTCAACAAGAAAGCTGTGCATTCTAGCCCAGTACACATTTATTCATTCATTACGCCCTCGCGACAGTCCACTGCTGAACATAGCTCTTCCAAATAGATAGTTTCATTGAGGGATTCTGCAATTATTGCCCCGCTTGGAAGGTGGGTGGGCAAAAGCAGATTTATTAATTATTTTGAATTTTGAATTGTTATCAGGAGATGCTGCTGCCCATCCCCTCTTTCTTTTCTATCTGTTGTCTCTTACAACACCCATGTGATAATATGAGATAGTGAACTCTCTTACATGATGATCATGTCACCAACGGCAACTAGATGAATATCGGTGTTTAACTAACAGTCTAATTTTATACGCGGTAGAGCCATGCTGCAGCTATATTTATGGTATAGTTGTAACACGAATGGGTTGGCTCGACCGGGGAAGGACCACGCTCTCACAGAATACCAGCGTAAAATAGCAGCTTAATGCTGCTGTGTTTCGTATGGTGAGTGTAGAGAACCGGAGACCCTTTTTACTGGAAACGAGGCATTCCATCTTAGTCCTCATGAAACCATCGCCTTTGGCCTACAACCACTATTCTTCGGACGTCCTGTGACGTTAGCATTTGTAGAACAAGTTGGTGTACCCCAACTCAATTGCACCATTAAGAACCGAAGACCTTTTGACCTTTCTGGAAACGAGGCATCACATCTTAGTCCTCAGGGTGACGACACATTTGTATTGTGAACTTAATCGAGGATAAATGTAGATGTCTATAGGCCACAGTATCCACTTACCATCAGATGGACTGAGTGCTCGTTTGGCAGCCTTATTATATAAAAATAAAAATAAAAACTGTACGTGGTAGAACCATGCTGCAGTTATAGTAGTTGTATAGTTGTAGCACGAATTAGTCGGCTCCATCGGAGAAGGACCATGCTCTCACAGAATACCAGCGTAAAATAGCATCTTAATGCTGAGTGTAGAGAACCGGAGACCCTTTTTACTGGAAACGAGGCATTCCATCTTAGTCCTCACGGGTGACAACGTATCTGCATCTTGATTCGTAATTGAGGATAGTTGTAGATTTCTATGAGCCACAGCAACCACTTACCACCAGGTGGACTGTGTGTTCGCTTGTCACCTTTATTCTATAAAAAAATCCCCCTTATAGTGAGATAGTTGCCGTCAGGAAAGCACTCCTTGTGTTGCGATGCTCGAGGAGGAGAATGGCGGGAGGAGTTGTCCTCTCCCAAGGATGAACCGAGAACAATGGAACGAAAATAGCCCGCTGGCGTTAGGCGTATGTGGAAGCTGATTCTTCGCACTGCTGCTTGATGAAATAGGTAAGAGGTTTGTACCGACACTGACGGACTATAAGGCAGAAGAGGAATCCTTCTTTAAGCCATAGTAGTCTAATGGCAGGGTGCGGACCGCGAACTCGAAAGGTCGTGGGTTCTAATCCGCCATTCGACTACTGTCGTGAACCAATCCTAACGCAAGCATTTTAAGCTTGCCGGGAGTGGTTAAAGGGAATATTAGTATGTAAAAAGTAAAAAAAAAACCCTACCACCTAGTATGATATGAGAGCCGTGGTAGCTCAAATGGTTAGCACTCGCTAAAATATTCACAGTACGCGAGCAACCCGGGTTCGATCCCCGCCGGTACCAATGAAATTGTTACTTGCAATTTTAAGTGCTGATTTACCACGTGCTCGGCGGTAAAGGAATCGTGAGGAAACCTGTATTTCTGAGACATAAGAAAAAAAATTCGAAGACATGTGAAGTTACATTGGGGTAGCGCGGCGGGTATTTCCTTTCCCTAAAACCCTCTCAGAAATGAGAGGAGGCCTGTGCCCAGCAGTGGGACGTATTAAAGGCTGTAACTTCAATTACAACCTAGTGAGATATGATATACGATCTCATATACAATAATACCTCAAAAGCTTCTCAAGCAGGACCTTCCCCATGAAGCCGGTCCCTCCTGTTATGAAAACCGTTTGGTCTGTAAAGGTCTCCACGATTCGATCAGGCAGCTTGTCCCACATTTGTGCAGTTTTTTCCGGTGTCATCTTGTCTGTTATACGTAAATAATAATAATAATAATAATAATAAACGTTTATTTCGGACATCATGATCCATATGGGTTAGTAACAATTGAGCTTATAACTAAAGTTAGTAATTTAACAATTCAACATAAAACACTGACACAGACAAACAGTCAAGACACACATACAAATAAACATGGCACCCGCCGCTGCCAGCAAGATGACTACTTGACTGCGTGCAGCCGTATCCATCGAGCAAACATCGGCGAGTCCCAACGGTCTGCCAACGCGCGCAAGATACTGTTGGGGCTGTCGCGAACGCGCCTGAGGTGTGAAGCGCAACGTTTACGCATTATGGCGGCGAAACCATCTACATGAGCATCCGCAAACATAGCAGAAGCGCTACAGAAACGCGGCAGCCCCATCAATACCCGGAACGCGTTATTATATTGTAAAGATCGCGAATTAAAAAAAAAACGTTGTAGATACTTGGAATTTCTCATGTACAAACTGAACAAATAACTATCGACTTTAAACTTAGTACTATCCTCGGTTAAAATTCAAAATCTATATTCGTTTTCATTTCATCCCTCAGGACAAAGATAGAATGCCTCGTTTCCAGTAAAAAGGGTTTCCGGTTCTCTACACTCACCATACGAAATATAGCAGTAATAAGTTACTATTTTACGCTGGTATTTTGTGAGAGCATGGTCCTTCCTCGGGCTTCCTCCATAATAAAGCTACAGCGTGGCTGTACCATGTATGAAAATTAACTTTTCATTAAAAAAAATTATAAAATGAAAAATTATTACTGCTTTTGAGAAAACATAAAATTATCCATCTTATTCAAAAAAATAGTTTAATATAACTCCCATGTTTAAACTGAAGTTTGTTTCAATAAAGAAGTCCTGTGGAAAAATGCGAACGAAAATGTAAAATATGGTGTTTCGTATGGTGAGTGTAAAAAACCGGAGACTCTTTTTAGTGAAAACGAGATATTCCATTTTAATCCTCAGCGGTGACAACGCCATTGTGGATAGATGTAGATGTCTATGGGCCACAACATCCACTTACCATCAGGTGGAATGTGTGCTCGTTTGTTACCTTTATCTATACATACATACATACATACAAATAAATAAAATTGAAGTGTCTGTTTGTAATGTCAAAATAACAGCTTTTTACTAAATGCATATGCAAGTATATACGGTACTTATAACAAAAACACAACTATTAACATTTTTATCTGTCAGTCTGTTTGTTCGGGCTAATCTCCGAAACGGCGGGACCGATTTCGATGGGACTTTCACTGGCAGATAGCTGATGTTATAAGGAGTAACTTAGGCTACTTATATTTTAGAAAAATAATTAGGGTTCCGCGCAACATAGTTAAAACCCTAAATTACACGCGGTCGAAGTCGCGGGGAACAGCTAGTTTTAAAATAAATAAAAAACCAACCTTGAGCACTTATGGTTGTATAGTGTTTATCAGATCACTTTTACACTAATTTTGCACTTGTTATTTTACACGGTCGAATGATGCTAAGTTAGACAATAACTAAGTTTTGGAGGGAATATTTTGAGTTTTATGAGCCCCACCAGTTCTTCGAGCGTAAATTTCGACATTAAGCGCTCATGTGTGGAACAAACAATGGGCGCAGTTGACGTTGCAGATGTGCGTTACGTTAAATACTTACTCAAAGTTTTTTTTTATGAGTTACCTTTATTGTCTTGTGTGACTAAAAAGATTACAATTACAGGTAAATAGGAAAAATTTCAGCTGTTTTTACACAATAAGGACGTAACAAATGAGCACACAATCCACCTGATGGTAAGTGGATGCTGTGGCCCATAGATAATATACTATATATGGCACTGTGGCCTATACACATCTACATTTATTCTCGATTAAAAAACGGTTCGACAAAAAATGAGATTGACTTCATTATGACGACCAGACGGCAACTGTTCAGTGATGTCTCAGTGATCGCGAGGGTGAAAACCGGCAGCGATCACCGAATGGTAAGAGGCACACTAAACCTAAACGTTAAGTTGGAGAGGTCTCGTCTAATGAAGTCAACGCTCCGTCCCCCTCGTGCTCTAATCCAAAGCCCCGAAAACTTTCAGCTCGAGTTACAAAATCTTTTTCAGTGCCTAGAAGATTGCAATGATGTGAACGATATAAATAACAAACTTGTGGAAACTGTCCATACGATCGGAGCTAAGCTCTGTAAGACCCATCGCAAGAACATGAAAATTCTCCGATCACACTCTTAATCTCATGGCTGTTAGACGGGAGATGAAGCTGCAGTCTTCAGTGGATTTGACAGCATACAGGCAACTGAACAGACAGATCTCCAAATGCATGCGGTGGGACTTGCGCAACTTCAATGCATATATTGCAAAATCGATCGAGAGGAACCAGGGCTCCAAAGTCTTTGCCAGAGATCTGTCTGCCAGAAAGAGCGAACTTTCAAAGCTGAAGACCGAATGTGGCAGCATAGTTTTCGGGACACCTGAAATTTTGAGTGAGATTGAGAGGTTCTATGGGCAGCTGTACACATCATCGTTGGAGCCACACGCAAGTGTGAGTAACGATCCAAGAGCAAGTGTTATCTGACATTATTTCGATGATATCCCGAACGTCAGTTTGAGCGAGATTAGAATGGCTCTCCAGCACCTTAAAAACAGCAAGTCCCCGGGCGAGTATGGAATTGCAGCAGAGCTTCTGAAAGCTGGTGGAAAATCGGTACTTGAAGTCCTTCAGAAGGTCTTTAATTCCGTCCTCCATGGTAGCACTACTCCGGAGGGGTGGAGCAGAGGTGCGGTAGTCTTGGTCTTCAAGAAAGGCGACAACGCTCTCTTGAACAACTACAGATCGATTTCCCTTCCGAGCCGCGTATACGTGCTATTTTCGAGAGTCATTACGAATCGTCTCGCACGCACACTTGACGACTTCCAGCCTCCCGAACAAGCCACTTTCCGAAAAGGCTTTAGCACTATAGACCATACATACCCTTCGACAAATTGTACAGAAGACCGAAGAGTACAATTCGCCACTTTGTCTTGCGTATGTGGACTATGAGAAAGCCTTTGATTCCGTCGAAATTTGGGCGGGGTGCATTCCCTTCAGCGGTGCCAAGTTGACTGTCGACATATCGAAGGGCTGAAGTGCTTGTACAGTGTGGCTACGATGGCTATCCGAGTACAAAACCAGAGTACGAAACCTATCCAACTGCAGAGAGGTGTAAGACAGGGTGACTTAATATCCCCGAAACTCTTCACCGCTGCATTGGAAGACGTTTTCAAGCTACTGGACTGGAAAGGATACGGTATTAACATCAGTGGCGAGTATATCACTCACCTTCGATTTGCCGACGATATACTCATTATGGCGGGATCGCTGGAGGACCTAAGCACTATGCTCAATTACCTCAATAGTGTCTCCCAACGGATGGGTCTTAAGATGAACATGGACAAAACAAAAATCATGTTTAACGTCCATGTCACACATATGCCGGTAGTTATAGCCTATATACGTCACACTGCTAGGCACAGGCCTCCCCTCATTTATGAAAGGGTTTTAGGGCAAGGAAATGTCCACCACGGTGCCCCAATGCGTGTTGGCAAACTTCACATGTATTCGATTTTTTTCTTATTTCTCAGACATGCAGGTTTCCTCACGATGTTTTCTTCGCCGCCGAGCACGTGGTAAATCAGCACTTAAAATTGCAATTAACAATTTCATTGGTGCCGGCGGGGATCTAACCCGGGTTGCTCGCGTACTGTGAAATTTACAGCGAGCGCTAACCATCTGAGCTACCACGGTTCTTATATAAATAAATCTGATAGAATAGAATGGAATAGAATAGAATGATTTTTATTCAGTATGGATTATTACATAATACATATTGAAAGTCATTATTTTATTTACCTCTGGTTCGGAAAATACCTCTGTCCTGGGAAGAACCAGAAAGAAACCCAGCGGAACTTTTTTTTTAAACATAATTTCACTTAACAATAATTTTGTTTATACAATTTTAAAGAATTTTCATAGAACCAGCATGGTGGCGATCACCTTATTCCTAGGGGTTATTTTCATTCATGTATTCCTTGATATTATAATAACCCTTTTTGTACAGTTTTTCTTTAATAAAACTTTTAAACTTGTTTATTTACAAACTTTGAACATGTTCTGGGATTTTGTTGTAAAAGCGTATACATTGTCCCATAAAGGAATTACTAATTCTGTGGAGTCTTGTAAGTGGCATTACAAGCTTATGTATGTTCCTAAAAAATAAACTTAGAAATAAGGATATCCGCAGAACCAGAACCAGAGTAACCGACATAGCCCAAAGGATTAGTAAGCTGAAGTGGCAATTGGCCGGCCATATAGCTCGAAGAACCGACGACTGATGGGGAAGAAAGGTTCTCGAGTGGCAGCTTCGTACCGGCGGGAAAAATGTTGGGCGTCCCCCCACTAGATGTAGTGACGACCTGGCAAGACATGCAAGAAGTCAATGGATTCAGGTGGCTCGGGACCGTGTTTTGTGGCATTCCTTGGAGGAGGCCTATGTTGAGCAGTGGACTTGTGAAGGGCTGTAACGATAATGATGAAGAATCAAAATACAGATGCATTGTCACTCCTGGATGGATTAAGATGGAATGCCTCGTTTCCAGTATAAAGGGTCTCCGGTTTTCTACATTCACCATACGAAACACAGCAGCATTGAGCTGCTATTTTACACTGGTATTCTGTGAGAGCGTGGTCCTTCCCCAGCCATTCGTGCTACAACCATAATATAGCTACAGCATGGCTCTACCACGTAAAAATTCAGCAACACGATCAATCCGGATCGATCACCACTGACACCGATGAAGTTATTAATTGAAAACAATTTTAAGTGCTGATTACATACTCGCCGCTGAAGGAAAACATCATGAGGAAACCTGCATGTCTGAGATATTGGAAAAAATATAATCCGAAGACGCGAAGTTCCTCAACACGGACAGTAGCAGCGCGT